TCTCTGCATAGTTAGACCTTCTTCTGGTATTCTTTACTTTCAGCCAGGATCCATCTGACATCAGCAATGATATCCCTGGTGCCACAGCCTCTTCTAAATCCTGACTGAACTTTCAGCAGGTCTCTATGTTAGCCATTTTGAATCATCTCCAGCAGTAGTTTTCTTGCATGTGATATTAATGATACCGTTCGATAATTTCCACATTCTGTTAAATCAGCTATCTTGGGAATGGGAACAAATACGGATCTCTTCCAGTCAGTCGGCCAGACAGCTATCCTCCATATCCTGGCATAGACTGGTGAGCATATCCAGGTTCCATGTGTCATTCGAAGCATGTCAGTTGGTATCTCAGCGATCCCTGGGGCCTTATATTTTGCCAGTGCCTTCAGTGCAGCTTGAACTTCTGCTTTCCTTATCATTGGCTCTTGATCATATGGTATTTCTGAAATATGTCGATGTCGGCTAGTTTGTTTTGGCTGTAGTTGTTAGATGTCCTCAAGTCTTCTACAACTCACAGCCACTTTGTGAAGAACATATTGAAAACCTGTCCTTTTCTGCACCATCCTCACAATCTCAGTCACACTCAAGCCCATTGCTGCAGTCACTGTGTCAGTCATTCAGAGTTCCTCTTTTGCTGACTTTCTTCTTTTGCCAAGCATGGTATTTTTTTCCCTCCCAAGAACTAATGCCTCCTTACAATATGTCCAAGATAAGTGATAGCCATGCATTAAGTACCCTGGGAATCTAACCTGGGTTTCCTGCATGGCAGGTGAGAATGCTAACATGGAAGCCCACTGCCCTCTACCACTGCATCCCTGGTCGACCATGATGACGGACCGAGCCACCATCGTCCACCTTACCTGAGCGGCTGCGTTCCCCCGGGTTGCTTCATGCTTCAACCACATGAAGACGTCTCCACCTTCTTTGGTTTGGACTTTGAGTATTTCATCATCTTTCAGCCGAATCATTTCAACATACGCCTGAAAGACAAAGAAGGGAATGAAGCAACTAAAGAAGAAAGAGGAGAAAAAAAAGTCCAAATAATATGGGCATGAAAGAGGCAGGGTACTGGATATCCTCAAATGAGCAATTGTGCAAACAGAATTCAAATGCAGTGTTGGGAAATGAGGCATGTCTATAACACAGTGAGAACAAACACTTAAATGGACATCTATCTCACATCTCCAGGATGTGATTGGGTCTAGGTTTGTCTTGGAAAGGCCTCACTGGTTGTGCTTCCATTGTGAACACTCTGGTTCACCCGGAAGCCCACTTCACGTGACTGCTTTCAGAGTCAGATTACACAAAATATTAAAAATAATCATAGTAATAAAAAAAAGCAAATTGATACTACTTGCTAAGTACAACCTTATTTTTTAGTGCAAAGCGTTATTGTGCGTGACTAACCCCTTTGATTTAGCAGCCTGCGCTTCAAATGACTTTTGGCTATTTCCAAAAATTAAATATACCCCGAAAAGAAGGAAGCCAGTTAGCTCAGGAGGAGGCAAGAAAGAATGTGTAGGAGGCTTCCCAGACAGCTCAAAGGGAAAGTTTGCAAATTGTAATGCGCACGCCCTTTCAGATACCTGGATTCTAAAGCAAGTAAGACTCAGCTTTGGTTGAAAAAAACCAAAAATGGTCTCATTTATTCAATCCTCACTCTTTATACATGACCTAACCACTCTGCACAGTGCCACGAGGGACCTTTGGGGAGGGCATTCATGGCCAGGAAAGATGGTGGAAGAACTGGATGGGGACCTGTTGGGGGAAAATGCATAAGAGAACAAGGAGTCAGGCCTGATATCCCTCCTGACCCTCTCTTTTAGTTATGAATAGTCTTTGGAATTAGAACTTGAGTCATTCCATAGAATGCCTCTTTGCCACCTCTTCCCTGTAGCTTAGGAAACAGAGGCCCCATTCAAGGGTGATGTAGTCCATAGTAAGTTGCACTAAAAGTCCCTGAGTCTCTAGTGGTTCGAATCCAACAGCAGCTCTGAGAAAGACAGGCTTGTCTCTAGCCTCTGAAACCCGATGAAGGATTGTAATGGGCCAGAATTAACTCAATGGCACAGAGTTTGAGTTTTGGGGTTTTTTTCCTATTCAATAATTTTTTAATTGTTTAGAAAATTTGTGTGTACTATGCACAATAGTTTTATGAGTTGTTTTCAAGGCAAAAAATGTTTACATTTTAAACTTAATATCTGTTTTTATTTATTTTATTATAAAAGTATACTAAGGACGCTCTGGTGGCCTACTGGCAGGAAGCTGCACGGCAATCCCGGAAGCACGAGGTTTAAATCCACCAGATGCTCTCCTGGAAGAAGGACGATCTCCTTCTGTACCAGTCAGATCCGATTTGATGGTACACACACAAAAATAATAAAAAAATAAAAGAAAATAAAAAATTTAAAAAGTTTTTAAAAAAGTACCAAGAGGCAGTCATCAGAACAGAGCAGGGAAACACTGCATGGTTCAAAATTAGGAAAGGTATACGCCAGGGATGTGTCCTATCTCCATATCTTTTCAACCTGTATGCAGAACAGATTATCCAAGAGGCTGGGCTCTATGAGGAGATGTGTGGCATCAGGATTGGTGGAAGATCTATTAACAATCTGCTTTATGCGGATGAAACAACCCTGCTTGCTGAAACTGAGGAGAACCTGAAGCACTTGCTACAGAGGGTCAAGGACTGCAGCCTTCAGTATGGATTGAGGCTCAATGTCAAGAAGACAAAGATTCTCACCACTGGACCAATCGGCAGCATCAGGATGGATGGTAAAGAGATTGAGATTGTTAACAACTTTAGTCTGCTTGGCTCCACGGTCAACACTCTTGGCACCAGTAGCCAGGAAATAAAAAAAAAAAACAAAACACCATATTGCGATGGGAAAGTCTGCTGTTAGGGACCTCTCCAAAGTACTGAAGAGCAATGGTGGCATTCTGGAGACTAAGGTGCATCTGACACAGGCTATGGTCTTTGCAATCATCTGTTATGCATCAGAGAGTTGGGCAATGACCAAGGGGGATAGAAGGAGAATTGATGCCTTTGAGCTGTGGTGATGGGGAAGAGTATTGAATGTACCATGAACTGCCAAGAAAACAAACAGATTCATCCTGGAGAGGGTTAAACCAGGCTGCTTCTTGGAGGCAAGGATTCTGGGGCTTCATCTGACATACTTTGTACATGTTGTAAAGAGGGACAGGTCCTTGGAGAGGGACATCATGCTTGGGAGAGTGGAGGGACGGCACAAGAGGGGAAGACCCTCTATGAGGTGGACTGATTCAGTGACTGGGGTAATCGGGATGGGTGTGTCAGAGGCAGTGTGATTGGCACAGAATAGAACAGGGTTTAGGGCTGTTGTACATAGGGTCACTATGAGTCGCAAGCGGCCTGATGGCACATAACAACAACATACTCATAATAAAATTTAACTACTACAGATAATTAATACAGTAATAAGAATAAAATTTCCATCTATAATTTCTACCAGTGTCCTATATTTTAAAATGGTCTATTGGATAATACCTGCTTTTTTAAAAAATGCATTTATTGTTGCACACTTTGACACTAACTCTATATCAAGTTAAATTTCTCCTGCTTTAACAGTAAAAATTAGAAAAATTAAACCTCCAACTTTTTCTAGTTTATACAAATGAAAATCAATGCTAACATTCAAAATGAATCTCTCATAGTATTTTTTTGAGAGTTTTGGAGATATTTATGTTAATTTTTACTGATACTTTAACTAAAGCTTAGAGTAAACCAGGATTTCCATTCATTCATTGTTGCACATTTTCCTCCCTACCCACACCCACCCCCAGATCGCTTTTCTCTTTATAAAGATTCTTTCATTGTTGCACAATTTCCTCCCTCCCCCAACCCAGAGTTTGAGTTTTTGAAGGGACTGGGAGTCCCTGGGTGGACATCATGATAGTCCGAACCTCAAAGAGTTGCTCTAATTTTTTATTTCTTGGACAAATGCTGAGTAGTGCCCAGTACACACTACAAACTCTGTCGAACATTTCTGCCCCCAACACTCTCACCCCAAATTCCTTTTCTTCCACTTGATAATGCTTCAAATCCCTTAGCTAGATCTTCATTTCCAAGGCACAAGGCTTTATGCTACACAAATCTGCAAGCACCAATAGGAGGGTTAATGTTCTAAACTGCTGTCAGCCTTTCACACTACAGAATGAACCAGAATCCTAGAGCTCCAGCGGGGTAATCTGCAGGGAGTTGCACTGTTCACCTAAAGGTCTCTGGCCGTTCAAATCCACCAGTAACCCTGCTATCTTGTGATGAGTAATCTTCTCTTATTAGAAGTATAAGTTCGGAAAGTCCATGGAGACTCAGCTGTGAATTAGTTCCAACTTGAAGACAAAGAGTTCTAGAAAAAGATGAGTTAGCATTTACTGAGAACTTGCCAGGGCTCGTCGCTCTTCCTCTCTCTTATATTCTGCTAAGTTAGGGGAGCTCTGGTGGCCTAGTGGTAAGGAGCTGCAACTACAATCCCAGAGACGCACGGTTCGAATCCACCAGATGCTCTGCTGGGGAAGGAGGGACAATCTCCT